AAAAAAAAAAGAACATTAAGAACTTAGTTAGGACCACCAAAAGTACTCAACGAAGACAATGACAGTACATGGCCATGTTCTCGTGCGTAATTTAATCATAATCCAAAAGGCAAAGCAGTTATGTGCCTTAAATTCATGTTTTTGCTTTACATCTAAATTGTACACACAAATAAAGCACTTTTACAGCTTGTATTGAACTTTTAGCCAAAAGCTTCTGATTTTTTCAACTTGTAGCTTACCCTTCCTTGATATTGCACCAGGTGACGAAGGAACATTGCAGAGCGACAGGAGCTCGGATAGCACGGACAGAGCCGATGGGCCCAACGAAACCCCTGCCACGTCAGACTGCTGGGGCCAGTCCCCCAACGATATCAAATCCGATGACAAGCATGGACTAGGGCTCGCCTTCCCATGAGACTCATGCCAGCCGAGGTCCCCAACCATTCTCTCCTGCCCGACAAAATCGCCACCTGGAAAATTTACACACCCGTCACCGCCCAAATCCAATGGTGTCGCCTTCTCATCCACGCCAGCTTCCACACCGGAGGAGCTGATACTCCTGCTCCTCCCGTCAGACTGCTGGGGCCAGTCCCCCAATGATATCAAATCCGGCGACAAGCGTGGGCTAGGGCTCGCCTTTCCACCATGAGTCTCACGCCAGCCGAGATCCCCAACCATCCTCCCCTCCCCAAAAACATCGCCACCTGGCAAATTTACATTGCCAGAGTCCACTGATGCCTCCTTCCCATCCACGGCAGCCGCCACATGGGAGGAGCTCGTGCTCCTGCCGTCATCATCGTCCTCCGAGAACGGGAACTCCGACTCCGTGTCCGACGAGATATTCAGCTTCGTATACCCCACATGGGACAGCGTGTCGGCACCAGTAGGACCCACAGAAGCAATCTGGCTCGTGAACTTATCCCTAAGCCTCTTCAGGCTGTCACGCCGGCTGAACCGGCTACGGCCAGGAGCCCGAGGAAGGGGTGGTTTCACATTAGCCTTCGACGCCCCTAAACTTGCTGGATTCAGCTCGAGAAGCCTTTCGGTGCTCGATTTGGCTCTCCACATCTTCCCGCAACAAGAACATGTCCGGTGGTCGGGCGAGCCTAACCTTATGTGTTTATTCGAGACCAGGCTTTGGAGGACCGATCGATCCACGTCCAGCCATGACTTTCCGACGAGCAGCCTGTACGAGTCGGATGTGAACTTGCTGTGGTTGATGATGGGAGAGAGGCACTCCTCGCAAAGGGAGCTGACATCAGCGAATCTGCTGTGCACGGAGCACGAGACAAGGCAGGACATCTCTTGCCTGTGGTCGTTGCACAAGAGATTCCAGTAGGTAGTGCGGGGCTTGCTTTTGAGGAGAGCAGTGTCCAGAGTCGAGCAGAGGAGGCAGGGAGGGGTGAGGTGGCAGTATCGGGCGAATTTTGCGAGCAGGTGGAATAAGCAGGAATTTACGAGAAGCAGGAGGATTAAGAGCCACTCGCAAGCTGCCGATGACAAATGATTCATGAATCCAAAGGTCACGGAGTTTGGGGATTGTGGATTTACAGCAGCCATGGCGGCGAAACTTTCCACGGCCGGTCGAGAAAAAATTGCTTTTCTTCCCTCTCGTTTTGTTACTCAAGGATTCATGCTAGCCCTGTCCGTCGAAAATTATCAATATGGGCAAACTTAAACTTTAACCACACACAACAGACAAAAAAAAAAAAAGAATGACATTTGAACTCGTAAATAGCACAGCTACAGAACGAAATCAAGATCACGTTCAAAATGAGCATTAGCTTTCAGAGCTAACAGTACCAATCCAGGCCATGAAATCTCCGGTTAAGAATCTATGAATGAAGAAGAGACGTTCTGTCATTCTGTGGCCGAACACATGATCATCGCATATTCACTAAATTACGCACACTCATGCTCGCACAATCAAATATTCATAGAACAAACAAAACAAAGTCGACAAACACATGATCGTTCCATATTTCACTAAATTAC